TACCCTCTAGAATATGCCAAACATATGCGTAAAAGGTCCTTGGAACAAAAGTAATTCTAAGTATTAAAGGGAAGTAAGAAAAAAGTGTTTAATTTGACTTTAATGAATAAATTAATGAGAATCGAGTGAGTTCAAATGCCCATGGCATGATTACGTCATTCATGAGCTAAAAAGCAGTTTTGACATCAACGTTTCTTTCGATAGAAGCAAGAGGAATTTAATTCACGATTGTAGAGTAACCAGTACAAAGCCGACGGCTAAAGGTGAGTTTTGCCTACCTGTATTATCTCTAATAATTTCCTGTATGTAGGCAGTCTTGTCAGTAGAGCTGTTGGAAAAAATTGCAGAGCATTTCAACCGCAACTTTCCGCTCGAGCAGTTTTGACTCTTTTGTCGCTTCCCACTTCACTGACTTTTCATTCTAGAATGCTGTAGAATGCTTTTTGAAGTACAGAACCTCACTGCACAGTGGTGTACAGTGATAAATGAACCACAAAAGCCATCCTGGAAGGACACTAGTACTGCTCATAGATGAATCAGCAAATTTCCAACGCGCCCTTGGATTATATTTCAATCTTTATTAATAGCGTAGTTTATCAATTACACCTAGTCCCAGTCCTTCGCTGCTAGTGATATTTTTCCAGTCTGGTTGCGTCGCGGAAGGACTTGAATAATTTCACGCATCGAGAAGCTCTTACTTGTCAAGAAAGTACCCAGCCTACAGTCCTAGACCTATTTAACTTCCTCACGGGCAACCAAATAATTTTTTGCTCTAGAACTGAAATTGTAGGCGTAGTATTTCGCTTGAAATTTGAAGTTAAGTGAGTCCAAAATGGCGGAAAATGGCCGAATCCTACGTGAGCGCGCGTTTTTTAAGGCTGATTTTTCGCACTTTAACTCTTGCAGGATCAGGCGCGGATCTAGGATAAATACTGACCGATTTCCTAAACGAGCGTTGAAGGCGCAAACTTTTAGCGGAGTCCAGGGGCTGGCTCCCCCAAGAAATTATTTGGATTTTTACTCCTCAAAGTCCCCTTTCCTGGGTTTCTGAGTAATTCAGATGGGATATTGGCCAGGTTTCAACTTGGAAAGTGTTTTTATTTTTAAAATATATTTTATATGAAAAATGTGACCGATTTCCGTAAAACGGTGGAAACCGGTGTGGATCCGCACCTGAGGATGATTATTTCTATCTCTGTAATACTTCTCTATCATTGAAGGCCACAAATTTGAAGAAAACTAAAAATCGGTAAAATATGTCGTCCGGACGCTTTTCGCGTGACGAACGATGATACGATGATACTAACAAAACACTTTGCTCGGCCACACTGTCACCCCAAATTAACTTGCTGAAATGAAAAATTAACCGTTTTGCAACCACATACTTCCAATGGAAAGATACCCAGTCTTTACATCTTTAGTATTATTTATTTCTGCTCGCAAGATTATGACCTATTTATTAACCTTATTAATACACCGCTAGACCGCCAGTGCTAGAATCAGCTATGCTTAATTAAGCACTAAATATCCTGAAACCGATACTAAAAAAGCCCAGACAGCAAACGCAAGCTGGAACGTTTAAAGTTTGTGAAAGCGCTGAATTTAAGAACTCTTTCTCAAGTATTTATGCTATGCGTGCAAAAATCATCAGGAAAATTACGGTCAGTGCTTCCTGATGAAGTTTGTGTGATATTTTCTTAATAACTCTACAGGAACACAGTGGCGGATCCAGGGGAGGGGCCCTGAGGGCCCCACCCCCTTATTTTTCGACCAAAATGAGGCCCGAAGGGCCGAAAAAAATTTTTTTGGAGTCCCCTCCCCCCTCCCCTATCTGACGGTCTGGATCCGCCATTATAACATTTTGTGTAAGGGTATTTAAGCCACAAACTTATGTCTTCAGCACAGAATTGCTTTACAGCAGCAATATATACTCGTGCGTATCACAGCTGAACCATTTTTTCTCTCCAAGGTAATATGACAGGCGGTGTAGGAATGCTTCTTTGAAGGACGGGAGCCAAGAAAAAGTGTCATTTCAGTCTGGCATAATTTTATAGGAGCACAATACCTCCAGACAAGTACAATTCAAAGCATAATAGCTTGGTTTCGTGGGGAGAGCATATCGATCTTACGAACATAATTAATCCGACAAAAAACGTGTACCAACTGCAATCAATCCGATTGAGTCAATAACTAATTGGCAAAACTGACACTGAAAGGGAAACTTCTATGTGAATTTGTTAAAGAAAAAAAAAACATTTTATTATAAAAACTTACAAATAACAAGTTAACAGGTGAAATGATTAATTTGGTTCGATTTTACGTGAAGGACGAATGTTTCTTCAAATTTGGTTGGGTTTCAATGGGGCCCTGTACGCCTTGACCCAGTGGGGGGGGGGGGGGGGGGGG